TCTGTCATGTGAAAACAATTGTTCACATGGGAAGAGGGAGAAAGGGAGATTCTTGACTTTTATATGAAGCTATATATGAGGCCACAAGACAAGGGTACCTGTTTTGATTAGCAAAACATCAATATGTGCTCAGTTTTAAGCTCCCAGTTCTCCTCATTGTCAGCCAGTGGATTTACCTGTGTGATTAATGATGAGGAAGTAGTTAAGGATTTGTCCTCCTTCAAAAGGCAATGAAGAAAGTGTGTTTGAAAATATTGAATCCTGCTGTCGAATGAGAGTTAAGTATGTAGAAGTCTGAGTCCTGGTTAATTTTGAGCATGCAAAGGAGTATGATGCAGAGATTCCCACAGAAAACATCCGTTGGAGTTGGAAATTGCACATGGTGTGGTACAGTGTAGATGTACCTCTGTGGGCTGGGAAGCATAGTGGGGTCCGTGTGTCCTTATATTTGAGGTAGTCAGGCTTTGTCTCTCAGCAAGAGGTAGATCAGCTGTTATACAGTTCCCTTAAAAGCTTTTCAGAATTTCACTCCCACTTTTCCAACCTACTTTTGTTTGTGCTGTGTGTACATGCTTTCATTTTTTGTATTTGTTTTTATGGCATAGTATTCAAAAGCAAATAGGCATGATGCCAACCTTTGACAAAGTGGATGACACTTGTATTTTGTTGATGAGATTCTTGTGTCTGTGTTTACTCTGCTTTGGTGCTCCCTTCAGTACAATTAGGAGTGTTTATGTTAAGATGGGTTTTAAATACTTTGTTTTGGTGCAGGTCTTTCATCTGATTTTGATATTTTGATATAGGCTAAGGATGTTTACAGAAGAAACAAAGAGCAGAGCATAGAACTAAAAATTCTTTTTTACAGTGTTATGTTTTAAATCCAAAAAGATAAGTAAATTCCGCTGTTTGCATGGACTGTCCGCCCTCTGAATAACAAGGCAGTCTTACAACAGCATCTGGTTTAAAGGTATTTTCACATCATAGTTCAATCACATTTGCTTTAACTTTGCATTGAAATCTAAGACTTTTATGTTGGTTACGTTTTTGCAGTTCTGTGTATATGGGAGGTTACACGAAGCATAATGAAGTCCTGTTTTGTGGCTCATTTTTAACATGAGGAAGGAATATGTACAGTGTCTTCATCCACAGGGGCAGATTTGTTTAATAATGAAATGAAGATACTGCTGTTTTGGGAAGTATGGTGTCCCCATTTACCTCAGGAACAGAACGGATATGTAAAATATTTCATCCTCTTCATAAAAAGAAACCTGAGAAGGACCTGGGTAAAAAGGTGTGATGGACTGATCAGCTTAGTTGCTACAGCTGATTTAATCTGTAAACTGCTGATGGTTATGGTCTTATTTTGGAATACTGATTTTTGGAAGGGTGTTTTGAAGAGATTACTTTTTGGTCTTTTTAATTTTATTTTTTTTTATTCCCTGCTGGTGTTGACTTTACTAATGGTTTGTGTCATTACTGTGCTTGCAGAACATAAAAGATATTTTGGATAAACTTGGGGATCAAATTGCTGTCATACATGAGAAGCAGCCTGATGTCATATTAGAAGCATCTGGACCTGAGGCAATACAAATAGGAGATGCACTAACTCAGTTGAACGCGGAATGGGACAGAATTAATAGAATGTACAATGATCGTAAGTGGTAAGTCAAACTATTTAACACATAGTAACATCCTTATGTACTTGAATATAAGCATTTTACAAATGTACCCTAATGATGAAGATAGAATTTGGTAGTAACCAGCTTTAATATGTTAGTATTACACAATAATTGCCAGAATTATTGAATGTTGAAAACAGTTAACATGCAAATTATAGTCTGGGTGCTTTTATGAAGCTGATTGTTTCTACTTTATAAAATAGATTCTTTTGTTTATGAAACATAAAATTTTTGTTTTGTGAAGGTATTGCAGACCAAAGTTCTAAAAGAAAAATGTTGAGTAGGACATCTTTTAACAAAGAATTCAAGGCTGCTTTTGAAGGAGGAAAGGAGTATGAAAGGATGAGGTCTTTAAAATACAGCATGTATGATAGTTGCTAATAATCTTTGTTGTGAAGATGAGAGATTATCATATTTGAAAACTTTGTGGTTGAGAGAACAAGGGAATATTGAAATCAGCGCTTAAGAAAAATGTATATCCTAGTTCCTTTCCACAAATATCAAATAACTGTCATTTCACTTATGTCAAAAAAGTGTGTGTGGGGGGAGAGGGGAAGCTAAATTAAGCTTTGATTTCTCCCCACCCCTTGCAGAAGACACTGTAAACTGAAAATGCACTATTATGCAAATCAAATTTAAATGTTTAAAAACAATACCACTTAGTCAAACTTGGAAAAGTGTGTCAGAAAGGCATTTTAAATTGGAATTGATGACGGTATGAAAGTACATGTTCAGGAGGTTACCCCCAAGCTGAAGGTACGTGCACTGCAAACAGTAGACACTCAGACTGCTGCTATGCAGAAAAACCTGAATGATTGAAAATGATTTTATGAAACTTAAAATTAAATGCAAAGGCTGATACGGTAGTTAATTTGCTTTTACATTATTTGTTTTTTTTAATGGTGGTGTAAGGTAATGGTTAATGCAGAAGTTCTCTAAAGTAATGTCTAGCCATGTTCACTTGTTTTGTAGCACCAGAAATGTGATAACAAACACATTTGGTAGTGTATTTTGAGGAGTTGTTTTTGGGAAGAGTGTGTACTACATTAGTTTTCGGCGCTTTCTCAGGTCACCAGTGTATGCGTAGGAATATAAAAAAGGATTGGTGGTATTGTCTAAGCAGAGACTTCCAGAAATTCTGGCCTACTGGGTCAGTGAAGCATCAATATAATAACTCCCCAGGCGCTGTTGTTTCACAGATTTTTAGTTTGAAAATAGTGGTGCCAGCTAAGTACCACTTTCTGTGTTCTTGCTGGCTGCCCGTGGTCATCTGCTATATTTCTAGACAATTGCTCCGGAATCTTGTGCCTTGTCTGTATTTATATGCATGCAGCTGTTCTGCTGTCTTCATAGGTATGATGTGCACTAAGTGTCAGTTATGCCTTTTCTCCCCTGTAACTTAACTGAAAAGCTTTAACTAATATTATCGTTTTGTAAGTATGAGTACAATTTTATTTACTACTTTAAATTTGATTCCATTAAATAGCTGGGATTACCAGAAACCTAGTTGTCCCACTGAAAAAGATAAGTATATCAAAATTAAGTTCAATGTTTACAATTAGCTGCCAAAATGGAACAGATTACCTCCTCAGTTTGTTCACTGAATACAAATTAATCTTGAACTTCATAAAGTTTGTAAAGCTCTGCATCTTAATGGAAGTAATATTGGGTGCAATTTTCATACAGAAGGGACCATGGTACTATCAATTTAAGCTAAATGGTAAGTAGCTTCCTGAATATATTAAGTGCTGCAATTTTAATAGAAGGATATCCTTTGATCAATGAAGACAATATTAGTATCAATATTAAAATGCTGTGTTTTGGCATTAGTATTTCTATACCCTTCCTGTTACTAAGAGGAATTTTTAACCAAGTTTATTCTTGCTTGTCCTAGTGTTGCCCTAAGAGATTTTGACAGAATTAGGAGGAACAGTATCTGAAGTCTGTGACAAAAGATTGATTTAGTTTTCAGAGGTAGTAATGATTTTGTGATTGAGTGCCAGCTAAGTAGTTAAAACTTTGATGAAAGCTCTGGTGTAGCCAAGCACAAGCAAGTTGAATTTTGAATTAAACTGTACTTAGCAAAGCTTCTTAGTGGTCAGATGGTTTTAGTTGACTTCGGTTTGACTTGAACACGTGTGTAAAGTAAAATGTGTGTGTGTTTTGTGTGTGAGGGTGTGAGCTTAATGCTTTGAGCTGTTTGTAACAGTGCTGGTTTGTTAGTTCTGCTCCTGATGTGGACTTTCCCCCAGTGCAAAGTGTTGATGACTTGGGAATGAGCTCTGGTTTGGAAGCAAGTGGATTTCTGCAGAGGAGGCAAGGAGTGGCCAAGTCTCAGTGCTGTAGTGACAGGGCTTTGGTACTTTCATCTTACAGCTGAGGCAGTCTGTAATAAATCAGCACCATGTGTGTCTGGCTCAAAACCAGAGTGAAACTTCATTTCGTTGCTCAAAATACTGATGGAACTGTAGGCAGGAGTTAAAGCTTTGTGTCTTGAAGTGTTCTCCTCTAAAATTTCACAGTTCTGGATTCTGGAAACGTCATGCGTTCGAAACTCCCCGAAAAACATTCATTTTGAAGGAAGCCGATAAAATACTCTTTTAAACTATTTTAAGTGCTTAGACTATTTCTTCTCATTAAATGTGGAATGAGATACTATTGTGAGATAATATGTTCAGTTAGACTAGAATGTACCTGAGAAATAAAAGGAGATTGAGATTTGGAGTCATTCTAGAAGTTGGTCTAGTGTATTGAACTGAGATGTGTGCAGGAAACTGAAACAGTAGAACTAAGGCGTAAGGTCAGAAAAATTTTAAGTAGAGATTTTTAAAGCTTTCTTTTTTATTGGAATTGACACACATGAATAATAACAATAACAAAGCAGCCCTGTATGTGCCAAGAAATAGGGATATCTTTAAAAATGAGAGATAATTTTGATTAAAATAATCTCACTAGGAACTCTGGGATTGTTGAGTTTAATTACTGAAGAAAATAGATGCAATGGCAGCTCTTTAAACTTTGGTTTTGATATCTTTGATGTTATGCTGCTAATTTCAGATTGCATCTGTATATATGCAGTAACCCTGGAGTCTTTGTGTTGGAATTGTTTAAGATAAAAATAATAGGCTGTAGATGAGATCTTTCCCCTGTCACATTAGAGGGTCCTCTGATTAGTAGGAGACTTGGCCTCCTATGTTATTAAAGATGACTATTTTTATTAGTTTGGAATGGGATACTATGCAGTCTATTTGCATTGACTTAGATTTCATGTTGTTTGTCTCGAGTCCAGTGTCCTTTAAGACATCTGTCCTACTTGCTTTATAATGCTAATATAGATTTATCAACAAATAGACGGCAAGCCACTCTCTCCATGCCTTTCTGACGTGGTTTTCATGTTTAACGTTCATAGGCTGGTTTTGTTAGTTTGTTAACATAGTAGAACTCTCATTTTAGTTAAAAACAACCTGCTGACAGTGATAATTCAGCCTGTTTCATGCTAGAAAATGTTGACCTTCAAGTTCAGCTGCACATTAATTTGAGGCTGCAAAGATCGTAATGATAATGAAATGCCTGGTAAATTATTGCGTGATTAAATTGTATAAGACCTACTTATGCGGGCCCACTGGTAATACAGTCAGTTCTGTATAATCAAAATCACCTTCACTTATTAAATTCCAGGCATCAGCACCCCATGGTTTATTAATAAAATAATAACAAATATCTGAGCAATTAATCATATTTCACATTCCACACTGTCTGATATCTGAACTGTTTCATAATAAAGAAAAAAACGTTTCTGCAGACTGATTTGATGCAGCTAATCAATCTTTACTTTTTAAGTGGTGGAAACAAAAGTTTGCTTAGGACTGCCCTTTTTTCCTTCAAATGGAAGTTAATGACAATCTGTGCTGTTGGCTTTTACCAGCTGCTACTATGTCAGGAAGCCTTCAGTACTGGGACGTGGTTAACCAGGCTGTATGCTAGCCTTTCTGTTTCACAAGGCAATTTTCTACTCGCTGGAGTAGGAATTGTAGCCTTCTCACCAACATGGCTTGGATAATTTTTTCAGTGCTTTGTTTTCAAACAGTTGCTTTGATAGAGCGATTGAGGTGTGGAGGCAGTTCCACTGTGATCTCAATGACCTCTCCCACTGGATAACGGAAGCTGAAGTGTTACTAGCTGATGCCCGTGGTCCAGATGGCAGCCTGGAGCTGCAGACAGCTGGGCTGCATCAGCAGGTACGTATGATTTGTGCAGAGAACAAGCAAGCTGGAAAATGTCTAGATTTTTGTCTAAAATTCTACTTTTCTCTGTAGATGTATAGACTTGAAATGAGGCTGTGCAATTACACTTCAAAAAGGGTTAGCTCTTAAAGTTTCTTTTTCAGTTGCAGTTTAAAATGATTCTTGGGGAACAGCTCAACTGCCGCTTATAGTATGGGGTTTTATGATGGGTTTGAGATAATATGATAATTCAAATGTTGGCATAATTTCTGTTGGTTTATAACTTTTTGTTACAGCTTTAAAAATATGTTAATCAGTTAAGAAATCCATTTGACTTTCTAGTCATAATTAAAAAAAATGGACCCCAACAGTGGTCAATTGTAACTTAGGAAATTAATTTTTTTAGACTAATGACTTTGCAAAATCCTGCCTTGTATAAGCAGTCTAGAAAAAAGGGAATATTCTAATTACAGATGTCTTGAGTTGGATTGTTTCAGACCAGTTCTGGAATTTAATTCCTGATGTCTTTCTGCCTCATTATGGAAGAGCAGACTTCTGGGCATAGCTAAACTGCTTTACTTCCTTTAAATAAGGATGAGAATTTTTTTTTTCTTGTGGAAATAATGGTTATCCAAGAGTTAGGTATGTGTGGTGAAAGAAACGTATGTTCTACCTGACATACGTTTTGTATTTTATTCTTCTTGCTACTTGGAGTTTTCTTCTAGGGCGCTACCCTTCTCTTCCTTGACTCCTCTTATTCCTGATCTAGTTGCAAAGAAATTTTTTACTAACAATGTAAGGTTTTTGTAGTGGTTAGGGATATTTGAAGGTTTGATTATGACACCTTTTTGGCTTCCTTTAGTTTCATGGATTTTCTGTGGTGTCTGGGGACCATGGCAGCACAGCCATAATTATTCTAGCTAAAATACTGTTAAGTTACAGAAATAGTCAGAGGTATAGGTTATGAAAAGAACTGGTTAAAAAAAAAAGTCATACCATCTGTTAGCACTACTAGAAAGTGCTGTACATTAAGAGGAAAGGGATCAAACGTGAGTGGATTCTAGCACTGATGATTTACATGAATTCTTGTGATCCTAAGTAGTATTCGGCAGTCTAGTCTGTGTTGTTGTCTTTTTATGATGCTCATTAGAAAATTGAACTAGATTAAACAACGGACTCTTAATAACTTAAATCAACAGCATCCAATTTTAAGTAAGATGGCTTTAAGTGCCTGTTTTAGTAAAATAATATGGAACCAGGATTCATCCTGCATATTATGAGCCACAGATCAAAGTCACTTTAGGTCAGTAATAAATTTCTATGTGGCTTTTGTTTCTGACAGGAGCTTGAAGAAGGAGTCAGCAGCCATCAGACCAGTGTTTCAGCATTGAACAGAACTGGAGAAGGGATCATACAGAAACTGTCTGCTACAGATGGGAGCTTCCTACAGGAGAAGCTGGCAGGATTGAATAGACGCTGGAAAGCAATCACCACAGAGGTCATGGATAGACAACAGAGGTAATGAGTTAATCAGAAATTTGTATGACTGACCAGATCCAATGAGGAGAATCTCATTTAGAAAACTCTGGGAGAGATAGTGCATGCTGTTGCCTGCTATCATTAATCTGAATTTTCCTGACATTCAGACCTCTGTGTTTTGAACTGTCTTCTAGAACCAATTTCTCATAAATGCACCTGCAATTGACTGCTTAGTGAGTCTGTTGTTTAATACAAACCACCAAATGACAACCACAAAACTTCTTTTCTTACAATTTTCCTTTGTTTTTAAAATGATCTCATTGCTAAGCCAGACTTTTTTAGGAAGGAATACTTTCTCTGGCTGAAGCTGAACTGTAAGTACATTACCTTGATTTTCTATTTTTGTATTGTCAGAGATACACTAATTGAAACACTTGCATTGTTCTTGAATTTCCACAGTACTATAAAATAAGATCATTAGGTCTGTGTTCGCAATTATTTAATCTATCTGACTAGGTATTTTCTGAAATAAAATGAAAATCCATTTTGAAGTAGCCTTAAATTTACTTTGAAAGATCAAAAAGCAAGGTTGTCTGAGATGAGTATACCAATTTTCAACGTATGTGGTTGTCATCCCTCCTCAGTTCTTACTGCTAAAAAAATGTATAAGGATAAATCCCTGGAACGAACAGCTATTTTTGGAGGCTATTTATGTAAATAAATGTTTTAACATCTCCTGGTACATTTAGAAATGTAATAATTTTTTTTCTTAATTATTTGGTTTTAGAAGTTCCATTAAAGCTTTGTGTGATTTAGGACTTTTTTCCTTTGGAGGGTTTAGGGACATTTCTAACACTTGCACTAACAATGGCCTTGTAACAATGGCTTACAATGATTAGGCCTGAAGGTGTTGTCATTACTGTCACTTAAGTTTAATGTTTTATGCAGACTTTTAAAAGTCTATTTTGTGACTTTGGAAGTGAATTTTATCTGTTTTTAAGGTGGTAGTGTGAATTTGCAAGTATCTTGCATTTTGATGATAAGGGTAGAATCCTTTGAATACCAAAATGAATCCTTCAACATGCTCCAACCACTGGAAAACATGTGACTACATTGCATCAGAAGTAATGTAGGACTGATGTGCTGTATTCACTGCAGAAATGCATGTGGGGTTTTTATTTTCCTTTTTTAAGGCTAAAAGGAGAGAATCAGCTGCTGATAGAGTACAGGAAGAAGCTCGATGAGCTGCGTTGCTGGTTAGAAAATGTAGAAAATGCTCTGGACACAAGATTTACATTTGACCATGAAGAAAACTTGCAAGAATTACAGGTAAGATTGATTAGCGTGTATGCACGTGTATGTCTTTCGGCAAAGCATCAGGACATGGCTTTTGATGAGGGGAATTTTCACACTGTAAATAGCCAAAGAAATATTGTGGCTGTGTAAGACAGATCTGTGAGATTGCTTACAGGCAAGATGCATCTTGTAATGAAGTTGAGTTGATAAATGTTATCTAGCCAGATGATGATGGCTATGTATCAGAAAGTGAGAAATATATGTTCTAATAAAATTCAGTAAATGGAATTTCACTGAAGATTGTCTCCAAGTCAACTTTATAATTGTCCAAACTTTAGCAGAAAGCCGCTAAGCTTAAAATGGTAAGTAAGCACCATTGTCCTATTTACTGGTTAGCTTTAATACTTTGTTACGTGTGTAAGATTTTCTTTAACGTGCTTTTTAAACTGTAGGGTTTGTTTCGGGTAAGTTGGGTGCATATATGTGTGTGTGTTTCCTGTTTATTTTGTGTCTGGCTTTGACAACAAAGTATTTTTGGTTTATAGGATGTGTGAAAGAGAATGTTTCTGGAATCCTAAAAGAATGGAAGGAGTAGTCAATCTAACAAACCTGCTTGCTCATTTTTTTTAAGAACAAGTAATTTAAACCCACAAACACCACCAACTTCTGTTAAACCAAATCAAATGGAAAGGCTTGAACTTCCAAGAAATATGTATAAACGATGTGGAGTTGTTGCAGTTGTGTTTGCCTGAACAAATTGACTCATGTCAGTTGAGCATTTGCTGTCTGTCCTGAAAGTTTAGTGTTTCTTGTCATCTACGTTAGTACAGATGCCTGAAGTGAAAGATAGAACTGGAGTAAGGAGGGAGAGAGCAGAATTTGCTAGAGAAAAACTGGTAGGTAGTTAAGTACCTATTTCACCCTGTGAAAGCAAGAACCTGTGTGCAGTTTTGGTTATGTCTATTAAGGAAAGGCGAGTTTGCAACAGAACAGGTACTGAGTAGGATTGCTTGGTCATTCAAGAGGGCGAAGAACTAGTCATCTGCAGATAAACTGGGACCTTGCCTTGTTTTGTCTACTCTGAGAACAATGAGAAGGGATATGATGAGAATAAGAAAGCATAGGGAAGTTGCGCTATTGTTAAAGGCTAGTATTAGGGAAGTGGAAATAAGAGATGTCATTTGATCAGTCAGGAATAAATACAATCTGGGAATGAGAAGGAGATTTTAAAATACAGCTTCCAGAACAGCCTCCAATTAAAAAGGGTATTATGTGTTTAAAATACTTCTTTTAAGGTAGACCCTAGAAAATTTAGGAAAGGCACTATTTGGTATCGTGCTTATTGTAGCAGGGTATTCTGTTCAGTGATCTTTCTTCCAGGCCTGTGTTCCTGTCACTTTACTATGCACACCTCCATAATACTTGTATAACAGATTAGTATAAATATTGGGGTGGATAAATATGATGTGTACTTGCTATTGTAATTTTTTTTTTATTCTAGTGCTTTAAAGACAAAATTAGTGATTCCTACTCCACCGCACTTGTGATCTATGGGGAAATGATAGCACAATTGATGTAAAGTTAGTGGGAATCCAAGCATAAGCTTTTTCTTTTGTGGGATCTGACCTGCTCTTTCATGTTTAAAGAGAAAGGCTGTGGGAGGTTGATCAAAATGCAGTTGTAAGGTTATATTTAGTTTTTAAATGTCTTCAGAGTACATTACCTTAACAGTCAAGTACCTTGCAGTGATCTACTATGCACTTGTATAATGTAAGTCAGGAGTGAGCCCTTAGGTTTTAAAATTTAAAAAAAAATGAATGCAGACAGTAATTTTGATGGTCAACATGTTGCCTTTTGGATACACGTGGTACATGCAGAGCTGCTCACACAGAAGTGTCTTGCGAGTTGAGAATCAATGTGTGTGATGTGAAGCTGTGTAGGTACCTTGGCTATTTGCAGTTTTGTGGGTTTTTTTTCTTTCAGTTACCAATAAATGTTGATATTTAAATATATGTCTTAATAATTTCTGGATAGAGCATAGAAACCAAAATAGAAGCTTTTCAGTTACATATTTCCAGGGAAATTTCTAAATATTGGAGTTAAAGAACCCCCTCCAAGCATATATTCATTTTGCTTCAGTCTAAAACTCTTTTGTCCCTTTTAGGTCTTAAGTGAAGAGATGGAAGTACAGGGAGACAAACTGGAATGGCTGAACAGAGCTGAACCTGATGTGCTTTTGGATAAAAATGTTGATCTTCAGGAAAAGGACAAACTTTCCGATTGCCTGCAGTCCCTCAATGTGAGGTGGAATAAGGTGTGTGTTTTTTCAGCATTGGGTACCTGAAGTTGAGAATATTGTGGTGTACTTGGAATGGTTGCTTTCCTTTCCGTGTATCTGTGGCATGTACATAAAATGTCTTGGAAGCCGTGCAGGCATGTTAAGGAAATGTGCCCCAATCCATGTCTACGTGAAAACGCTAGTGGACATTTTTCCATCGGAATGACTTACTTTAGTTAGCTTAGCGTGGATTTTTTAATTTTATTTTTGTATTTGCTTTCTTTTAAACGGCTGGATCAAAAATACTTCATTTGAGGCAAACATTAATGTATTATTTTGAAATTGATAGTCACAATAAGTCTTTGCTGTATGGGAAAGTTGATTTTTTTGCAGCAGTTGAGAGGAAAACAAATGAAGCTGTGGTAAAGCTCAGTGAGAAAATCTTATCAAGTGTCTGGGATTCTTCTTGAGTATAACTGCTGTAAAAAAACTCCTAGTGTTCAATATCATTGGCAAGTATATGTGAAGAGAACTTGATGGTGAGAGTAAAACCAGGGTTTTTTTTCAAGCAGAGCTTGGAGAGCCAAGTGAAAAAGGAATAGAATTATTTGGGATTATATTATGGATCAAGGGGGTAAGAATCTATTGGGGAAGGGGGCTTTTGATAGTTCAGGGAAAGAAAAAAGATCTGTTTTTTACCTACTCAGTTATGAAATGAAGATTCCCTCCCCCATCCGTTTGTAGGCTACATTTCCATCACTGCCTCTTAAAAAATTTTAAAAAGCAAAGTAGGCAAATTTGTCTTCACTACAACAGAGCTTAGTGGTAACATTTTTTCTTTTTAAATTAATTCCATATTTCTCTTTCTTTCCTGTCACCGATGACCACAAATCATGCTTTGCGTCGTCTTTCTTTCAAAGTGTACTCAAATAATGAGTCATAGCTTTGATGCTTAGGCAGTAAAAAACATGTAAACAACCTGTCTACAGTAGTCCATTTATCTCTCTCCAAGATTTAAGAAAGACACTGATATGTATTGAAATGACACTCCAAGTACCTCTTGGGGTTTTTGTTGTTCTTTGTTGTTCTTAAATTATACCTTGAAAAATTCATTGAAATATATCTGAGGCATGCTATTGTAGCAGGCATGGTGTAGGATATTTTGTCTTCTAACAAGTGATTACTTTTTTTGCTGTTAATATAGGTTTTCTTACTGTTTTTATTCCTCTCTGCTGGGCTGTAGGTGTTCAGGGAAGTGCCTGAAAGAGTGAGAGAATTGGAGGCATTTGTTCGGCAGTCTCGTCTTGTTACACAGACAAAGTCTTCTGGTGAGTGATCACTCCTTCTGTTGTGCTTAATTGTATTGAGTTTAATCCTGTTTTGCAGTCAAAAATAATCCAAAAAGGAAAACCTTCCCTGTGAATTTAGACAAGTGGAAATAAGAAATGTTGTCCATTGCTGTCCTTGGGGCTACCTTTGTGTTACTATAGGAGAGAGCAGGGACATTTGGTTAGGAAAAAACTCACTCTGCGGTTCAGGATTGGAGGAGCCCTTTGGGATTCCCCTAAGAGTTTTGAAATGGAGGAATGTTTTCGTAAAGCTTAGGGCTCCTCATCAGGAGCCAGTATACGAGGTACAAAATAAAAACTGAAATAGCTATGTTTGTGACAGCCTGGTTTCTTGTGGTTTTGTGCCTTGTAGTCATGCCTTTTGGTAATTAAGATCCACTAGAAGCCTTCCCTACAGCTAATTATTTATAAAGTATTTCCTGTATGCAGATTCTCTGCATAAATAAAGGCCATTCTGCATCTTTCAGCTCAGTAGGGAAACAGCTAGGTCTTTCTCATCTGCTAGATACATATCTTCCTGAATCTTATAGGGGAAGCTGTCTAAATATGACATGTTCTTGTATCAGACACTGACACTGTCTGTCTTTTCAAGTTGTTGGAGGCAGATCAGCAGATACAGAGCGTAAACAAGATGCCCGGGTCTCCTTTTTAGAAAACTAGGTAAAAAAAGACAGCCCTTGCCTGAAAGAATTTGCAGCTTGAACTTCAGTAAATTAACTGCTGGGGTTTTTTTTCAACTCATCAGCAGTAAACAAAATTTAAAGGAGGAAAACCAACTTTTTGTTTAAGCCTTTCAAAACCTTGATTCAGCTTGTTTTCCTTTCATACAGGGTGTTTGTTATGTAAAGCTCCTGTATTTCATTGCTTGAGGCAAGCGTGTAATATTCATGCTCCGGCTTGATTTAACTTAGTGTTTTCTTGGAACTAGAATGCAACCAAACACAGCTTCTGGAGCAAATCTTACTGTTCAGCTCATTCCTCATTTCTTTGCAGTGTTGGGTTAAAAGAATAGAAAGGATGGGGCTGAACTATCAGGCATCTGTCCCTTTTTAGGACAGTTGTGTATTGCCAAGTTCATGAAGCATCTATTTCAGTAGCTTGACTTTCTTGTGCTTAAGTCAGTTCTAAGCCAAGACTGGGGAAAGCCCTTCTGCAACATAATACAGAAGTGAGGAAGACAATTTCAGACATTTATCTTAAGTGCAAGGATTGTGGTTTATGCTTAACAAGAATCAATTCCCTTTCGTGTCAGAGTATTTGGCTTCACTCCATTAGATTTAATGTCATTTTGCCTTTGCATGTTTTTTTCTTGTTCTGTATTTAGGCTGAATCATTTGGGTGATTCTCTGGCAGGCAATGAAATAACTAATAGTCTTTAAAAAACAAAACAAAACCCACCACAAACCCAAACCAAAAGGAATTTCTGATAAATTAATTCCTAGTGGTTAAAATGCCTCAAATACAAATTTTGCTGTCTTTCCTCTGTAGATACTGTTGCATATTTATAGGAATTACCAAGAAAACCCCTGTAATTCTCACAATTGCACATTTGGCCATGACTTTTCTTTAACAAAAACCCCAAACTCTGTTTCAGATGCCCAAAAGGTGGTGCTAGTATCTTCTTCACTGGAAATTCCTGTTCAGACTCAGCAGGCTTTGGAACTTTCTGCACCTGCTGATCTGGATAAAACTACAACTGAGCTGGCTGACTGGTTGGTATTGATTGACCAGATGCTCAAGTCAAACATAGTCACCGTGGGAAATACTGAAGAGATCAATCGGACTATTGCACGAATGAAAGTATGTGTTTTTGTGAAAGCTAGTGGATTGGAAAATTGGCTCACACTTGAATAGCTTCTACATTCAGTAACGAAATTACATGTGTTAAAAACCAACACAACTGACCACAGTAAATGCATAACTTGAAAATTACACTTTAAATGCTGCTGTTACTGCACTCCTCTCCCTTCTACTATTTCCTTTTAATTCCTGTGTCCCTATGTGAGCTAGGCACTACTGTTTTTTTTGTTTTAAACAAAGCATTTAGGGAATACCTCCTGAAAATGATGTCTTTTTGGGTATGTGTAGATAGCTTAAGACTTTGAAGCAGCTTCATATTTGCTTGGAGGGTGACCTTTATGATCTACTTTTTAGTGATTTCTGATGAGTTTTGTTGTGTTGTAGTTAAAATAAATTCCAGAGACATGGTAAAATGATTAAAAGTTGTAACATAAATGCTTATGATGTAAATGTTTGTTTCTGTTGATAGCTCGTGCTATGCTGAGCCATGACTAAGGGCAGTATTTGTGAGATGTGTGCTATCATTAAGGTTCATTTTATTTGAGTTGATAGCAATTGACGTGAGTAACTGTGGAGTAAAAGCTGCAGGCTAAACAAGTCCCTAATCTGTTTCGGTGGGTGTTGACATAATCTGGAATTTGAAAGAATAATGTGATGTACAGTAACTTTGGAAACACTTTTTAAAACTGTATAATACTTGTGTATGGGCTTCTGGTACATTATCATAGTGAAATAACTGGTTTTTATACAATAGTCTGATTGTTCCTCCCTGTTCTTTTCCTTTTCCATCTCTTCTCCCTGCCACCCCACCCCCCAATATAAAATTGATCAGAGCTTAGTAAGAGGAAAATAGATTATGGGAGAATGAAAAATAGATAGTGGAAAATATTGTGCAATGACTGTGGTGACTGTGTGGTTTGTACAGGTTACCATTCACCTCTGAAATTTAAATGACTAATTCAAAATATTTTGACTCTTTAAAGCAGTGCTATAATACTATGACAATTGAAGGGTTACAGTAATGATGGGAACTGCCATCTACTTGTGGCAACACATAGATGTTTTGTTTTATTTACAAATAATACAGATGGTTAACTAAATTCTGCTTTTTGGACTTAAAAATCATGTCCTAATTCTCAACAGATAACAAAGGCAGATTTGGACCAGCGACACCCTCAGCTTGATTCTGTTTTTACATTGGCTCAGAATTTGAAAAATAAAACTTCCAGTTCAGACATTAGGACAGTGATCACAGAAAAATGTAAGTTTCTCCATTCTGTGTTTACAAATACAATGTTTCCATGGCAGTAAAAAAAAAAATCTTCATTTCTCTTCCTTAAAATCCTGATTTTGAGCCTAGCTGAAGTTGCCTTCCTTGAACAAAGTGAAAACTTAGCAGTTAAATGGTTTCCATTCTAACAGTCTAATTTCTGGAACAAGAATTGCCACTTGTTTACTTCACCTCAAGTACAAAGGTAAATATTTTTGCTGGGATTTCAAAATATCTTAAGAAGAATTTGAGTTACTTGTCAGCCACAGACCGAGGGATGAGGATTTTTTATTTATTGATAAAAGGAATTAATCTTGCATCTTTATTCTTGTTGAGCTACGATGTGCTGGGCAGTTAGTGAAAAGCATGAATGTATTGTCTTAGGACAATAACTTTGTGTATGTACTTTTGAAATTGTTGACTGAGAGTTAGTAGAGCCTTTACGTCACTGATAGGTACTTGAAAATTGAGTTTCCAGTTTAAAGGTCCCCACCCCCTTTGAAAATTCCTTTTACTGGTTCTTAAGGAAGGAAAACATACAACTGACACAATTAGAAACTCTGGGAAAATGTATTCTTTGAACTCTTAAGCTTTGCTGGTTCCTAAGATTAGAAAATTCCTGCAGCAGGAAATATCACAGAAGTAAAAATGGAAATAAATATTTCCTTGTGTTCTCCTTTGGAATGTAGTTTTCCTTCACTACAACTACATGAGTTTCTTTGGTGTCCGTAGGACTTGCTGGAGATGACAATGGGGTCATATAGGAAGCCCACTGATAACGTTAAAGGGTCTCATGAGCTGACATCTGCTGCCTAAGATTCACAGGAGCTATGGATTGGTAGGGGAGTAAGAACCAAAGAAGCTAAAGCAACTTGTAGGCCCTGTTTTTCAACCACTCAAAACTAGGGATCGGGTGGAACCTCAGGGGAGGATAGTAATAATGTAGTCCATGGGAGTCAGTCAACAAGGGGACATCCGGTCAGTCACAAAACATTCTTGATTCTTCAGAAAAGGTGAACAAGGAATAAAGGAACTGTATGTTGAAAAGTTGAGTTCCCCTATAGTTGTGCCCACCCAAGGTGGGAACAGAGAAGCTGTGTATGCTGCTGTGAATAAAGCTTCCAGCAGATACCCTAGATGTATGTGAAGGTTTTTGCTACCTCTCCTGAAACATGAAAAAACTCAAGGTTTTGTTGCTACTGACATTTGTAAAGAAAAATTTGCTCTTTGAAGAAGAGTGAAGCTCAGGACTGCTTTATGCACCTTATTGTTTAAACACCGAGGGGAATATACCAGTGCCCTACAAACTCCTGTGAGCCTCCTGTATGTTGTTAGATGAAGCCTAATGACTCAAATAGCTAGAAGCACAGAAACAGAGAAAAGCTTCCTTCTCAATTACTGCATGGACATTGGGAATTAAAAACACAGTCTCGTCAGGAATTCTTTCCAATCTTACTGCCTTTGATACCAGAGTGGTGCCCCTGACAACTTTTTCTAGGATCCTACCTGTTGAACTCCCTGAATGCTGAGGCTACCAAGAATTTCACTATTTTTCTGTCCTGTTTTAGTGGAGACTGAAGAGAGGGCAAATACCAACAGTGCAGAGAGTAAGGTTAACTTGGCCATTAACAGGGGAAAAATATGTCACAAAATATTCTTTCTGTAATAATAGTATGTAAACATCAAACATCTATGCATTTTAACCAAGTTGCTATTGTAGACAGCTGTTTCTTAGGGATATTTGTTCCTTGTTTCCTTTGTGAGGAAAGCCTAGACACTCTCTTGTTTTTCTCTGCAGTTCATTAGCCAGCACACAGGGTTATAGCCTTTATTCATTTCTGCTGGTTTTGCTTTTGCTGTTTTGGTGAAACCAGCAGCTGCTGATTTCCTTTGAACTTACTTTTTATCCAATGTAATAACTCTTTAATAAAAAACCATATTATTTGCTGTTGGGTTACTGAAGTTTACTTCTAATTTCTCATTCAGCATGACATACATCATGCCTCAAAATTGATCCAAAAGTTTCCTGTGGGTTGACGTTGAGGGATCTATATTGCAGAGGTTATTTGGTTTGTAATCAGTGATACAGTTATTGTGACAAGTGGGCTTTGCTGCCAGTCTGAGAACTTCATGAAACTAAACAGAGTATTGTTTAATGCATTAAGAGGTCTTCCCAAGCAGATCAAGCATAATGCCCTTGCATAATTGTAAAAGGTTTTTTTTAAAAAAATAAAAATGCAAAGGGTAAAAAGTTAACTTAAGTGGGTTTAGTTAAGTACAACCTTTGGTATTTTTACTTCATGGAAGATTGAAGTGACCTGAGTATCAAGTCTGTTAGTTTTCTAATAAAATTACATACTTACTGACAAGATAAATGTGTTACATACTGCCTACGTGCTTTTTTACATTTGTTCTTTTAGTCTTTAGTTCTAGTGCTATAATGTGTTTCTAATAACTGTCATGACAGGTAATAGGGAAACCTGTTTCCACCTCTGTAGACTTTCAAGTAATACACTTTTTTAATGTATGATGCTATTCATTTCTCTCTGAAGGCAGAGTTACTACACTGTTTCTTGCCTAGGCTCTTGTCATGTCCTTTCCACCCTTTGTTTATTAAAGGTTAAAGCCTGTTTATCGATGGTTAATTGAGAGAGGAATGGGATACTTGAAGGAAACGGTGTGATCAATAACTTCTCTGTTCTGCTGTGTAACCTACATAGGCCTGTAGAAACCTGTGGTGGAATGAAAGTGCCAAATTAGGTTGTTACTGGAGTGCTCCTACCTTGGCCAAAATGATAGTACAGGTGCCACTAAACTGCCTTCAATACATCGTGGTGTGGAAAGCTTAGTTCACTTAGTATAAGCTACCCACATCTAAACAGTATTTAATTATTTGTTTATTTGTACTTGTTTAAGTTGCAGATGGACAAAAATGACTTCCTGGTATGGCCATCACCCTAAAATTGTGCTGCTTGGAGCCCTGCTGCTGGCATATCTCTGCCTTTGAAATATTCCAGAAATAATAGTTGCTACCTCTCTGTTAACCTACTTAAATGAGGTAGCCAAACACCTGAGTTTTTCCTTTGTGTCAATGTGTAAACTACATGGGAACTAAAATACTGAATATGGAAACTACTGTTTTTGAGAATGAATTATGTTATTGCCTCTTCTCCTGAGAATTAAGTGATAGTTGTGGCTACTTGTTTGTTTTCCTTGTGTTTTTCATATTCTGTCTTGTCCTCCACAGTGGAGAAGGTGAAGAACCAGTGGGACAACACCCAGCATGGCGTGGAGGTGCGGCAGCAGCAGCTGAAGTACATGCTGACAGACAGCATGCAGTGGGATGAGCAGAGGCAAGAAATGGCGCACCTCATGGAGCAGTGTGAGATCCGTCTGCGTATGTTCCTGCAGGCCCCAAAAGAGACGCTTGTCAAGCAGATTTCAGACAACAAAGTAAGACCATCTACGCTTTTTTTTCCACCCCTACCAGATTCCTCAGTCTATGTAATGCTGCTGGATTCAATTGATGTGCAAATATACAATTGAGTTGTAGGGCTGATTTGGCAATTCTGTCTCTTTTTGGGCATGATATATTCTAAGTTGACTATTTTCTTTTTTATGTATCTGACTTACTGAGAATTGCTTTCTGGGAGGGAGGGAGGGAGACAGGTGGTATGTGTGCATTTGTGTCTTTTTGTGAGTGTAGTTGAAATGAGTATAGTGTAGCATCAAATAAATAGTATGCAAAAAGCTTGAACCTCAGACCAACGAAACTATGTATGTAGCATGTATTACTTCATAGAAACCTATTAACAGTAGTTTAGTGAATCCAGCAATGGACAAAGCTATTTAAAATGTTCCTGAATTTCGCTTCTGTTGGGTGCCAGGTGTATGCAGCACTTTTTTTTTTTCCCCAGTCCCGTGCAATCTTCACTGCTTTTCATATCACAGGAAACCTGCTGTGATAAATCAATAAGTCTGATGTCCTTTGTCCTGGTGGCTGTCAGAAAAAGGGCAGGCTGTAGGTAGCACAGGATGAGAACTAAAGACATCGTTGAGGAGGGGCTCTTATCAGTGCGGTATTTAGAACAGGGCTATAATAGAGTTCAAAAAAGCGTGTGTGTATATACATATGTATTCATAAAGAAACAATGTAGGGGTGCAGCTGGGTATGGAAAGAAGCAGAGAGTATGGTTGTCAGAGTTCCTCACTGACCCATAGCTATTTCAGTGAACAGTAAAAATTGTGTGCTTTTCATCATCTTTCTCTGTGGGACCAGGGGCTTGGAAATGGACTATTAGGTCTGCTTTGTTTTCTTAAGTGAAAGTAGGCCTGTGTCCAAACATATAGTACAGAGGTTGTAAGACACAACTGGGCATATAGATATATATGTATATATATGTGTATATATATACACAAATACTTTTTTTTGTTTAGAAATAATCTGAGTTCAGGATTGTGTAAAGTCAAGGCACCTTATAAATATCCTGTCACAATAAGCAAATGTATCGAATGTATTTTCTTCACTTAAACAAAAAAACCCCCACAAAACAATGAAATAAAATTCTTGTGCTGCACGCTTAATTTGTGCCACTTTTACCTGCTGTTTATATCGCTATTATCATAATTTAAACTTGTTCATGCTACTAAAAATACAGAAGTGTTTTTACTTCTGTTGCCAGTAGAACACAGAAGAGGACTTTTCTAGCCTTTGGTGGTTCTAGCGAATATAGTTTTTCCTCACCTGTTAGTATTTTGATTGGTTCATTATCAGGACACGTAATATCTGTAGATTTTCTTTTTAAGATTTTTCTTCTAGATGAAAAATATGCACATGTTAAAAACAAAACAACCCCCCTGCAAAAATCAAAACCAAAAAGGAGGGGTTTATAGTATAATAAAATTCATAATACGAAAAAGTCTGATTTTTATTTTACTCTGTCTAATTATGGAATTACTTTTTAGCTGTTAGTACAGGATTTGCATAGAGGTGACATCACAGTAGCTGCATTCAACGATCTTTCTAATAAACTTCTTCGAGAGTATCGTGATGATGACACAAGGAGGGTGAAGGAAACCACTGACCAAATGAACACTTGTTGGGTTAATCTGAACCAAAGGTAATTACAAGGTTTTGTATATGTATCTGTGTCTTAAACTTATATCGGATGTATACGTGTGTATAGCAGTCTTCCTCTGCCTGCTTTACTGCAGCATTTAGGGCTTCTGTGGATAATTAGTGAATTACGGTGAAGCTGGTTTGAGTTTTGATGGTTGAAATTCCAACAGTTCACCATGTAAGCCTTCTCTATGACTTCCCATTTATGTGGGGTTTTTTTAAGGAGGAAAAAAAAAAGTCCTTCCCTCATGTTTTGTCTCAGATTTGCCTGTGGCTGTTACTCTCTAAGTGTCTTTGAACAGTTCCTCTCCCGTTCATTGATGCTGGTATGCTTTATATATTTGTAATTTCTTGCTGTGCTTTCTTTCTATAAGGCTGTAAGTATTCAGCTTGGTCTTCCAATGCATTAATTCATTATGACCTTTCATCTAACGGAAACTTTCCCTGAATGGGGCTGTGCTTTGGGTTCCTGTGTGTCATGCTTCTAGCACTCCTGTCTAGGAAATATTTGTGCTACAGGAACCAAGACTTACTTGAAACTTACTACTTTCTATTCACCCTCTATTAAGATATATTTGTAAATATATGTTAATAAAAATATGGTATTTCCCTATGCATAACTTTTTTTCCTGCAAGGTAGCCAGATCTCTGCAGAAATTCTTTTTAGTGTTTGACAGACAATTAACATTTAGAATAGTGTCTGTCTCGGTGCCTGCAGCTTAAAAGATGATACGCTGTATGGTTAGAGGGACTGAAGAGAAAATTGATCCTATGCATATGGGAGCGGGGGAGATGACAACCAAAGTCTGTCTGTATGTGTGCATATATATGCACATAAAAGGGGCAACTGCTTTTGTAAGGAGATGTCAGTTAAGGGAATAAAAATCCTAGGTAATAAAGCCTTTGAATTTCTTGAGCTCTCCTGGGGAGTAAGAGGAGGAGAACTTTGAAGCAGTAAGAAGTAGGTAAAGAAGGAAGCAGAGTAGAATGTTGTCTTATCCTTATTTGGAGGAAAATGGTACTTCTGTCACTTTTTACTTTTGATGTGGCAGCTGATTTCCTGGTTATGTCCATTCAGAGATGAGGGACCAAATAGGCAGAACTTTGTATGGCTCATTCCGTGTAATCATTTGAGAGAGAATAAAAAATTGTTAAGCTCTAAATGTTTTGAGGCATAATTGTTCTGTGATGTGGACAACTTCTTTTCATGGTTCTTCAGAAAACTTCCAGTAGGCTGTGGGAAAGGCTTTGGCATAAGACAAAACTTCCTTGACTTTTTACTTTTTATGAACTAGGTCATAGTGATGAGGTCGTCTCCTGAAATGGCCCTTCCTGAGCATTCATTTGCATTAAGATTAGGGACTGCAGCATTTTTCACTATCAGATCATCCTTTCTTTCCTCAAAGTAAACTAATAATTTTTCCAAAAATGCCATTAACGTCATCTGAATGCCATGATGAACATCTAGGGATGAAGATGCAATTAGAGGGTGAGGGGAAAACAACTCCTTGTTGGGTTAGCACTAACAGTAGACTACAGCTCTGTGCAAGTCTCATTCGCATTCAGATGTCGCAGTGTTTTGCCTAGAACTGGCATAGAACTGCCCACCACTCAGAGCAGGTGACCAGAAAGAAAAGCTCCTGCCTGGAAGCCTCTAATTATTTTTGAATCTGCTTAAAGTCTGGAATAATAAGCAATTGCATTCTGTTGTGTATAACTGAAGCTCCTCAATTATCGCTGGGGCTACTGTTTTGCAGTCTGCAGCCTTAGGAAGATGATGAGTATCTGCTTTGTTTTTTAAATAGGGGCAGAATGTAAAGGAGAGCTCTGAGAGCCAGTGGGTACCCAGAGTGTGGAGCTGCTCATCATAACCCCATGGAGCAGCAAAGCAGGGGAGAATGTGCAGTGAAAGCACCTTTTCAAGGGAATGAAGGTTTTTATACTTGCTTTAAGTACGATAAATAGAAATACTAGTGAAGCTTGAGTCACAAGGCTTACTTCATGTGGCAGATCTTGAGACATGCAGGGGTTGTACATGAAGCACACATGTAGCCCTATGACTTCTATAAATGCAGGTCTGTATTTGGTATAAGGCTTTAAAATATCAGTTTGTTCCATGCTTGGAGGTTGTGGAGGAGGTCCTTAGTAACATCACCTGGGAGAATCACAGTCCTGAATACCACAAGAACGCTGCTGGGAAGGCTGTAGCCATGGCGTGCAAAGTTGAAGGAGCTCTTTTTAAAACTATTGGCGTGAAGAGATTGAAGCTCCCCAGCTTTACATTGTGTAAAGTGGATACTCTGCCCAGTGGATGTTTATGTTCTGTTTTTATACTTCAGAGTGAAACTATTGTAATTCTGTGTGGTTTTGCTGCCTCAGTAATGGATTATAGTTGCTGTCTCAGATGTTATTTTCTGACTTTCTTTTGGTCACACACTTGTATGCACTGCAGAGTTTTAGTTTAAATCTGAAAAAATAATTAGATGGAACAGAAAGCTGGAACAGTGCCATGAAAACTTCAATAGTAGAGTTACAATTTTCTTTTTCTTGGTTGTGTCTTTGCTAATAGAATCTGCATGGACCTTCTCGACTATCACTGTGTTAAGTGAAGTTAGCTGCATTTGTAAAGGATTCTCCAGGTTCTCCTTACGTTTAGTTCTTACATCCTGGAAGGAACCCTCTGTCTTTTGAGGCTGTTCTAATTGTATTAGAATTCTTTGAAAATCTGAGTCATCTTTTAATAGCATGGGATAGTTTTTAATCTGCAGTACAGAATTCGCCATCACTTTCTGGTTTATATTTGTGGCTTTTACTGAAAGGAAATGAAAGTATTTGCATCTGCTCTGTAAAAGTGTTGCTCGCTACTGCTATACAGGTCCTCTTTAAAAGCACCTATGTAATTTTATAACATTAGTTCTAAATCTGTTAATTTGTGCTGCTGGAGTATGTATTTAGTGAAAGGAATGATTTTCAGCTTTAATTCAAATATGACAGCAGTGGGACTATAATAGAATTTCATTCTTTCCTTTATTTACAACCAAGCAGAAAGTTTGAGAAATTAAAACTTTAGACTGAAGACGACATTTTTCAATGAATGTTATTAGCCACAAAGTTCAGGTTGTCTCAATTCCCATCTAGTACATCAGTACTTAGACTTAGAGATCTGGGTCACTTAGTGTTTCATCCTTTAGGGCTTTTCTTTTTCTTTGAAGGTCACCTTTATTACCAGTCTGTTCTTCCTGTTGTCGCTCCTATTCTTCCACCTTTGGCCTTAACCCCCTGCTAGGGAAGAAAATCCCTGCGGAGGGAAAGGGTTTTGAAGTCAGAGCTCACAACTGCTTTTACTTTACATTTTTCTCACAGTTACTTGGTGTGATCTAATTTTTGAGCTGGTGCTTGTTATCTTTTCTAGGCAGTATCTATCAAACTGTTTGTAATCCCTAGCGTGCTATTTATTATTTTTTTGTCAAGAGTGGGTGAAGCATTCCAGAGTTTCAAGTGAGAAGCAAGAGCAAAGGCTTCTTGCCCTGCTGGTCATTTACCAGTAGCCAAAACTTGGGCAAGCATGAAGTCAGGAATGATTCACACGGTCTTATTTTGGATAAAGCCATTATTAACAAGTGACATAAGACCTAAGCTCCTGAAGTGGGGGTTGCAACACTATCTTTTTTGCAGGTAGTCTCTAGAAAATTCAGTTGGTTATGCTAATACTTAGGAATGTAAGCCTGGCAGAATTTGGGTTGCATGAGATTTTCTTAGTGCCCTTGAAGGAAAACAGCTTTTCTTTGCATCTGTCTCTTCTGATGTGCTAGTAATCCAGAATACCTGCTTTGAAATGTCATCCTGAATTGCATTGAACACCTGCAGCTTCTTTACTAAAGGGAATGTTCTAACTACTTTTGAAATTTGTGATTCTACACAGTTTTTCCCCAATACTGCTGACAGTACTGTTGCCACAGCATGGCAAGGAGGAAAGAAAGCCTAAGTAGAATAGGAGGAGGCAGAAGACATGAAAGTTTTATGGGCTTGTCCAGAGAAACATGTTCAATACATGTGAAAATATCAAAAAGCTGAGTGTTTTGGCCTTGTTTTACTTGAAATTAAATACCACGTTACTCCTGAAGTCTTTACAATATGGTTAATGCTTGATGTGAAAATAAAATTGAACTTTCTACTTATTTAGCAGCAGCGTTCTAGTTGGTAGCCCTATTAGGGATTTCTGTACAGTGTGCTAGTGTGGGACAGCTTGTTTCTTTTGTCCTGATTTTGGGAAAAGGGATACTGCAGCCTCAAATGGATGAAATTTAGCTTGTTATGCTTTAATTAACGTTCTTAATCAGAGCTTTTAAAATTGCTGACTGTAACAGTTTCCCATCTGAGTTTCATTTCAATGACAAGGAAACTTCTATTATGCAGAAGTATAATGTGGCCTTTTTTCTAGGAAATATTTTGAAGTTGCTTACCAACAATATAATCCAAAGATTCTAAATGACTTCCTTACATCTTAAAAAAAAAAAAAAAAATCCTCTTACAAACAAAAACTTTTGTGTTTATTCCAACCAGATTTATTCCAACCAGAGATCTTTTGGATTGGTTGAAAATTTGGACTATATTATGCTAGCCTTTTTTTATACATTTAAGCACGTTGAGCATGGCTTGGCTGGTATGATGGCAGTGTATTATTCTGTTTGAGTGGTAGTGTCAAAAGTATTCTCTTTTAGCAGAGAGAACCAGGTATTTGACTTTTCATCCCTCAGCACTATAACTCTTACAAGTTATACCAGCCTTCCCGTACCTGAAGGGGGCCTACAAGAAGGCTGGGGAGGGACGTTTTACAAGGGCCTGCAGTGATAGGATGAGGAATAATGGTTGGAAGCTGGGAGAGGACAGGTTTAGACTAGATATAAGGAAGAAGTTCTTCACTCTGAGTGGCGAGACACTGGACCAGGTTGCCTGAGGAAGCTGTGGATGCTCCATCCCTAGCAGTGTTCAAGGCCAGGTTGGATGGAGCCTTGAGCAACCTGGTCTAGTGGGAGGTTTCTCTGCCATGCCTGGGGGGTTGGAACTAGGTGATCTTTGAGGTCCCTTCCAACCCAAACCATTCTATGATATGATTCTGTGATATAAAAAACCCCCGCAAACTGTCAGTGCTTCTACTCTGTATGATTTTTGTTAACGAGGAAAAGGATTCATACTTGTCACACAGGGGAATAACACTTCTACCATTTGGGGTAACATAAGTCCATGATGGTAATACTCAAAGGAACAGCTAGGTTTTTAATTAATAGCTTTGCTTCTTTCACATGCCTTTTTCAAAAGGCCTGTGACACATATAGTTCAGAACATCTGTGGGTAGCTATAGATAAAATAACCAGAGAAACAGTGAGATAAATAAAGATAAAACAAACTGTAACAGATGTACAGTTTCTTAATAGAGATAACTTTCAGACTTCCTTTTAGTAGTTTCATTATGATTTACGTAATGCTGTATTTTATGGGGGAATATTCTGACACTTGTCTTGTTTTCAGAGCTGTTGATAGGCAGAATTTCTTGGAGACAGAGTTGAAGACTATACAGGCCTCACACAAGGACCTGGAGAGCTTCCTCAAGTGGCTTCAAGAGGCAGAGACAACAGTTAATGTTCTAGCAGATGCATCGCAGCGTGAGAACACTGCTCAGGACAGTGCCTGCATCAGGGAACTCAGAAAGCAGATGCAGGTGAGAAACTGGATAATACTTCTGTTATTCATGCTTTTTCTCAATGGCAAATGTTATAAAGGAAATCTGTCTACTTGAGTGGGGAAATCTGCTGCCTATTGGAAGGTGTTTAAAAACCCCAATATTTTAGAAGTCAGGTGTGTGAAGGAAGCAGATTTTTCTTCCTAAGGTTTGAAATACGTATTTTGTGGATGTCTGTGGCACTGAGGGCTCTTAAATATCCTTGGAAGATCACTATTCAGGAAGTGTATACATGATTAAACCAAGTCATGTTGTGTGATTGTCCAATCAAACAACTTAATCTACTTCCCTCTAAGTAAAGCCTTCCTGGGCTCTACACTGTCTCCTATACCTGCCTGCCACCTTCCTCCTGCTTTTCCAGCAATCCAAGGAGTTGTGGTGCTTGGATCACCTCTTCTCCCTCTCCTGCTGCCCAGCAGCTCCCCAGCTGACCTTGCTTCTTGTACAGGTCACAGACTGGAAACCTGAGAAATAACTGACACAACTTTAAGTCCTTTTTAATATGTGGACACCCTGTCTTGTCTAAAAGATAGAATCTTTTCCCTGTCTAAGAAGCATGGACTAGCAGAGTACCACATCTGGCTGTTCCTGCCTTTGCATATCCCATACATCTCCTTTGAGGAGACAGGAGGGAGAGAGAGGAGCTGGGTTCAGTCTGTGTTAAGGGTAGAGTGTATTGAGGGAAGACAGGAGGAAAGGGCATGGAGAACTGACAGCTCCTTTAAAAATGTAATATCTTTGGATCTGTGGCAGCAAAAGGTTGATCACTGGCTAAAAGGGGTTTGTGTTTGAGATACATGAATTTCCTTTGTCCTGTTAACCTGATGGGAACGCTGTTCATGTGTCATCTTTCTCCTGAATGTTTTAATGTATTTTTTCATACAATTAGATTGCCTCATTTAGCACAGTTATTTTGATATACATAGAACTGGGTGGCTAGATCAGTTATTAAATCCTGCACTCTGGGTTTGGAATAATGTAATCTGTGGTCTAAGTTCATGGGGTTTGAACAGCTTATAATTAAAAAAAGTGCTGCTTTCAGTAGTGCTCTTAATCTGAATATATCTACGTTGAATTTAAATCAAACAAGATAGTTTAAAGTATCTGATAGCAAGCTGCTTACTGTAATCATAAGGAAGAGAACAGTATGTTGTGGAAACTTGTGCATGTTGAAGATTGCATGTCACTTGTCAATGTTTATATGATTCTGGTCAGTCAGGTAACCCATCTGTAAAGATGTGGCTCCTTGTGAAATACGGAGTCGGTAGTGACAACACCTTGAAGTTAATGTTATTATTTCTATCGGCAACACCCCCCAAAAACTAGTGTAGTAGAGGTGGAAGAGATAAAACGGGGCCACAGGAAGCTAACAGCATGAGGCACTACTGTGTGTAAATACTTATTTCTGCATTTCGTTGCATTCTGTGTGTTAACAGCATGAGGCACTACTGTGTGTAAATAGACTTATTTCTGCATTTCGTTGCATTCTGTGTGGTCAATCACACCAAGATAAAGCTGTTATTTTACAGTTTGCTCGTTGCCTCTATGCAGCTGTGAAGCACCTTGGTGCTTCAATGGAAAATGGAAACAATGGAACAATGGAAAATTGTTCGCCCTTTTTCATTGTGCTGCAGTCTCATTAAAAGGGCCAGAGTTATGCTGTGTGAAGGAAGAACTGCCTGACAAGACTGTCTGCTGTTTGAGAAGGTCTATAGCCAGCTCTTGACTGTGCCCATTGTCCTGGCTTGTAACTATTGAGAAGGCAGATGTAGGTGCTTGGGCATGGCCTCTGCTTGTTCAGCATCCCATTACCTGATTTTCTTCATCTCTTTCTGTGACAGTATGCTTCTACACACTGTGCACATGAAGCATAATTGCTTAACTTACTCATGGCTTTACATAATAGTGTGAGCTTTTTTTCAGCTACCAAAGGAAGTTAAGTAGAGCATGCCAAAGACTGTCATAGCATAGTGTCTTCCAAAATGGACTTCGTCACTAGTATCTTGCAATCTCACTTTAAATATAACTGTGACATTCATATCATGACCCTGGCAAACACTCCAAAATCAACATTTCTCTTTTCAAATATTTGTGGAAACGGACTTCTGAAAACAAAGTGAAGCTCTAACATCTTGCTGTACCTTGAGAAATCAAGCCCATTTCTTTGCTTATTTTTAAGCTTAACATCTGATTAAACAAAGACCATTTCCTGTTCTTCCCCTGTTGAGTGGTATAAAATAACAATGTTCTTTGTGCTGTGTTGAATATGTGAAGAAGTATTTTTTCTAAATGGTTTTAAGAAGAATGCAGGGCTTTTGACTTTCTCCACTCTGTGTGAAGATGGCTCTGTCCCCAAGGCCTGTGCATTGATTAAAACTTTACTATGAGTTTAAGGTGTGATAAATTCTAGGTGAAATATGTCCTGAACATAGGCAAAACATGATGAATCTGTTGTTATTGTTATAAGTCATGTATTTTCAAAATAGGATCATCTGTTAAACTGGCATCTCTGTGTGTGAATGGGAGGACTATCCTCCATTACATTTTGGGGCTAACTTGTTTGGCTGTAGCTCAAGCCACTCTACAGAATCAGATGTGGGCACTGTTCAAGCCTTGTTTTGCCTTCCATTTGACATCTGAGGCTAGCAACAGTGCTATGTAAATAATGCAAACTTTGAGTGCAGTAATGATTTCCTTTTGGAAAGGAAGAAATTCACAACTATATCATCGGTCTTTTTGATTCATTCTCACGCTATCTAAACATTGTGAAGACTTTCCTTTCAGGTTAGTGCTGAAACATTTTGGTCTGTGTTGCAAAATGTTTAGCAGCCACCTGAAAGAGGTTAAAACCTAATTTGAAGCAAGATTCAGAAAATGAGCTAGGAAATAGTAAGAAGGAAT